AATTATATAATATTTAAATCTAATATATTTCTGATATAAAATAGAAATTTGATAAAAATAAAATATTTTTCAGAATTATAATAAAAACCTATAAATAAATTATTAAAAAAAATTATAAAATTAAAAATAATATCAATTTTATTGATATCTTTATCACAAAACTAATATTAATTTTATAAAAAAAATCTTAGTATCTTTTAAGATATTTTGTATAACTATATTGGAATTTCAATATTTTAATCAATATAGCTAATAGGTTTTTTATATTTGTTATTATTTTATTATATTAATTATTACTAAAATATTTTTAATTAAAACAATATACTTATTAAATATTTTATTTATTTTTTTGTTAAGATGATTTCTTTAGTCTTTTAACTTTTATTATTAATTTTTTTGGTAATATAATTCTATAAATTATTACAAAAAGAGTATATAATTAGTTATATATATAACTTTTCTATATTATTTATTTAAAAAGTCAGCCTAAAAATTTTTTATTAATTGCTATATCTAATATTTCTGCTTAAGTATTTTATTTTAAACCTTTTGAACATTATCTGTATTAATATTACTAAGTTATGCTTAGATTATTATTTCAATTTTAGAACTATTTTATTCTCAAATTAAATCTTTATATTTATTTTTATAGCTAATTTGATATTACTATAATAAAACTAACATTTACAATTAAAGTTAGTCATTAAACTGTCAAATTCCAGTATCTACTTTACAATATATCTGAATTATTTTAGTATACTTCTATCTGTTTTTCAAACTTCTAATTCAGATAGTTTAATAGAACTATAACTAATCTATTGATATATCAGATCAGCCTAATATTCTTTCTTTTCTTTCTATTTATTTTGGCAGTTTGGTTGGTAATATTTCTTATTTAAAGATTCATCTTGTTCAGATACTTTAATATTAGTATCTATTTTATAAGGCTAGCCTTTATAGTAATGTTATTAAAGATCCATACTACTTCTTTATTTAGATTTTTCTAAATGAACTTATTGTTTTTTAATTTTAACAGATTTATATAACCATAAGAACTTATCTAAAATTTGTACTATTTGATATTAGTTTGTATTTCTTTGTATAATGCTATATTTACACAAATGTCTTATAACCTGCCAGTCATATTAGTATGACTGTTATTACAAATATCTTAATCCAATTATTGAAAATAATTGCTATAATATAAGTATTATATAACTAATTATTTAAATTTTTACTATTAATGAAATTTGAATATCCAACATACTACTTAAAGATTAACAACTTATCTGCTTTATTAAGTTATTATACTTTCTTAAATATTTTATTTGTATTAAAATAGTGTTATTTATTATTTGTTTTTTTTTATCAAAAGATTATCTTCTTTTTCTTTTTTAATATATACTTAATTAGGTTCTTTATATTTAATTTTAATTTTTTACCTTTCTTTTCTAGAAAATTATCTAATTTTTGTTAACTCTTTTATTATAAAAACAATATTATAATATAAAAAAATTAATAAATTTTTTTTTTTTTTTTAACTTTGGCAACAATACCAGTTAGTTTATTAGCTTTAATTTGATATAGTACAGATTTATAGTTATATTTTTAGAATCAATTATTACTAATATTATATACTATCTAATTTTACACTACTAACTTTACCTGGTTACCCTTATAGCACCTAAGTATATATCTGTTGCATGCCTGCATACAGTTATCTTGACAACCACTTATGATTATGATATATATTAAACTGCTACACAAATAAGAATATCTATTAAACTTAATGTAGCATCACAAATGCCAAGGGTACTTCTTCTGTAAATTGTACCTATGTGTTCTATTCACATGTTTTATCTGTCTTGTTTTTTCTGCCTTTTAATCTAACTATATCTAGTATTATCTTGTTTTCTATATTTCTTATCTTTTATTACTGTACTACTTCCAAATTGGTTCTATTCGGATATGTCTAATTCTTATGATCTTCCTATCTTTGGTATGCCTGTTATTATTTCCTCTAAGGTGTTCTGACAATAGTTCAGGGTCTGCAATGAACTTATATCTCAAGCCAGATCTGCTGCCACTATTAGTCTTTTGACCAATTTGTATCTTAAGTCAAATCTGCTATCATCATTTCAGCAGATGCTCAGGTCTTAGTGTATATAGTAACTCAATGCTATATTTAACCTCTAACATAGTGCTTTCTTTTATGGTAGAGATTGAGACTTGTTGCACTTACAAACAAAACAATTCTGGTTATATCTAAGAAGTTCTTCTGATCCTAGTGATACCATACTACCATATATTGCAAGCTCACAGCTTATTCAACAATATCTGCAAAACAATTTTAGTTATGACCAAGAAGTTACACTGACTCCAGTAATATTATACTATTTTGCAGATCTTATCTCACATTGGTTGGTTAATCACTAGTCTTGTTCATTATAGACTTCTATATAGGTATGATCAGAACCTGATTTGGTACTTTTATATTGCACAAAAGAGTTATATACCTATCTTCAAGATTTTCTTTTTTATGATTAGATTATTTGGCTATGCCAGAGGTGCTTCTAATTTTTGGTTAAACCAATTCTTTATTACAGTTTGTCCTTATATTCACTACTTCTCTTACCATTTCAGTCTTGGTTACTTTCAGACTACTCTCTCAATTAAATCTTCTTCTTGAATCCTAATTAAGACTTATTTGCATAATTTATTAATTATCCTTTCAAACAAGTACCTCACAAGTTGGATGCAGGGATGTTGATATTATCTATATTAAAAGATATAAGGATGTTAGTACTGCTCTAGCCTAAAGGACTTAAATGTGCAATTCTTTTATAACTGTAATCTTCTGTAACAACTATTTGTTACACATAGTGCCTTCATTCCACAATTGGGTCTCCTTCTAGGAATTTCTACTTTTATTATTGTATTGCACTTGGACTTCAATCACAGGGCTTTATATTCAATTACAGATTTCTTATTAGGTTACAGAAGCTAAAATCTTTCAATTGTCTCCAACCAGACTTGAACTGTTGATCTTGACTGTGGAGAATATAGAAGCTTAACTGCTAAGCTATGAGACCCACATTCTAAAAAATTAATAATACAAAAACAATATTACAATTTAAAAAAACTAATAATATTAACAAAAATATTAATATATAAGATAATATTAATAAAAATAAGCCAAATTTATCTAATAAATTTGTTCTATTTCTATTAATGTTACCAATATGTCTAATAATAATTTTTACTAATTTAATAGCTTTATATTCACTATTAGTAATAATAATTCAATTTTTAGTTTTTTTTTTATTTATACTATTATTATTTGTACTATTATTATTGATATTATTACTATTATTTGTAATAATTTTTTCTTTATTTTTTAATTTATTATTATTATTTTCTTTTTTATTACTACTGTATTATTATTATTATCATTTTTAGAATAATATAATTTAAGCAAAGATATTAACTAATGACTTAGAATTATTAATTTAAATTATATTATTATATTATTATTTTTGATATATTTAATGTATAAAATATTTTTGCTTATTTAGTCAATAAGTTACATAATTTTTTTAATCTAATTTAGATAAAATAAAAATAATAAAATAAAATTAATAAAATAATAATTTATAATTAGAATAAAGAAACTAATATTTGTATTATTAATTTTTATATTTAATTATAAAGATTATATAAAATAGTGCATATGCACTATAGCATCCCTTTGTATTACTATGTAATATCATTACACATCATTACATATATTTTGATAGTTTGCATTTATGATTACATATATTTTAATAATCTGTAAGTCTGATCTGGGATATAAATAAAACAAATTATAGAATATTTTCGATCCTCTTCTTTACATCATTGATCATAGGTTTTTACATCACAAGGCCTTTTTTTGTTATATAAAGTGTTTTACTATGCAAGATCTTTTATGTTTTCATATTACCAAAGTTTTTTTTATCTTTATCAAACTTTATTTTACATTGTAAGGTCTTTTTTTATGTTGCTGAGCCTTTTTTTTTACATCGCTGGGCCTTTTTTTTATATTACCAGCTTTTTTTCATTATCAAGTCTTGTGTCAACAGGTCTTTTTTGTATCTCCAAGTTTTTTTTATGTTTCAAGTATTTTTGGCATCTCTAGGTGTCTCTTCAGGCCTTTATTTTACTGTAACAAGTCCTTTTTTTTGCCATCAAGTCTTTTTTTAACCACCAGGCCTTTTTTGTTTTTTCAGGTCGTTTTGTATCGCTTTTGTGCTACTAGGCTTTTTTTCATGCCATCAGGTCTATTTTTTTGCTTTATTATGATGTTGCTAAATCACTTTTATATATTCAGACTTTTTTTTTACATCTCATTTTTTTTGCATCATCAGGTTGTCTTTTGCACTATCAGATCACTGCATCGCTGGTTATTTTTTGCATCATCTGATCTTTTGTGCTGCCAGAATTATCTCTTTGTGTCATCAAGCTTCATTTGCATTACTAGATCATTTTTGTTGTGCTTCCAGGTATTTGATAGTTTATATTATGCCACTAGGATTTTTTTTTCTTTTTTTTTACATCTTCAGATCCTTTATTTCGCATTATTAGGTTGTTTTTCACACTAGCAGGTCTTTTTTTTTGCATTGGCAGGTTTTTTTGCATCATCAGGCCTTTTATTTGGATTATCAGCTCTTTCTTACATCACTAGGTATTTCTTTTTTTTTTATTATATTGCTAGTTTATGTGATATTATGCATCTAGGTCTTATTTTTTTTTTTATATCTATGGGCCTTTTTTTGTATCGTAAGGTCTTTTTTAAGTTCCTCGTGCTTTTTCATACCACCTGATTTTCTTTTGTATCATTAGGACTTTTCTACACCTGCAGTTTTTTTTGTACATATTTAAGATTTTTTTTCTTTGGTTAGTGCTTGCTTTGTTAATAAGTTAGACATTATCTTACCAAGTATAAACTTTAGGTTCTAAATATGGCTGAAATGTTTGAGAAGAGCAATCATACTAAATACATTAATAAAGTTGAAAATACTAGTTTATTAACTTCTTTTAAGGAGGGTACAAGCTCTAATTTGTTCAGTACCAAGATTTTTTTGACATAGGAGGAATGTTATTTATTTATTAATGAGTAGGCTAAAAAAAAAGACTTCTGTATCAAAAAAAATCACATAAAACAAGAAGACAGAATTATAAGAAGATGTATATACTTATGTGATCATTTCTGTTCTTATAATTCAAAGTCAAAAAAAGATTCAGTTACAAAAAAAATCAATTGTCCATTTCTTATTAATGCTTCATGCCCCAAGCCTAATAATCCTAAATTTCATATATATATTAATAAGATTGTTAATAAGTATAATCATCTTCTAAGTATTGAAAAGATCAATTTCAAAGAAAGTTATTAATGCTTCATGCTTCAAGCCTAATAATCCTAAATTTCATATATATTAATAAGATTGTTAATAAGTATAATCATCTTCTAAGTATTGAAAAGATCAATTTCAAAGAAAGTAAAAAGTTTACATCTGAAATGATTGATAATATAAAATTTTTAACTTCCTATTGTAAATTCAGGACAACAGTGCAGCAAAAGTTTTTAGAAGAGAAATATTTTGCCTAGCCAATACATTCCAAAGATTTGTATGCCATTATTCAAAAGTTTCAACTGACTACTAAAATATTAGAAAAGGATGCAGCATCGATGTCTAATTGGCTAGATAGCCAAAAAGAACATGACCCTCAGTGGATTGTTGTTAGGGATTGGGACAAGGATAACATACTCACAAAGTTACTATGGATGACCCCTGAACAAGTTGAAAATTGGATACAATTTTCAGACTGTATTTTAAATGATGTGACCTATAAAACAAATTGTTATAGCATGGTGTTATTATTGTTTGTAGAATTTAATCGTAATCATCATAATATATTTCTCACGCAAGCTTTATTATTAGACAAAAGTACATAATCTCACATTTGGATGTTTAAAGAGATATTAAAAGCAACTAATAAGCAGCCAGCTGTCATAATAACTGATGCAGATCCTGCAGTAGATTCTACAGTTTGCCAAGTATTTGTTCAAAACTATCCGATTCATTATGCTTTCCACATGATACAAAATATTAACAAGCACCTAAGAAATTTACTTGCAAGTAATTATGAAAATTTTATTGAAACTTTTTATATATGTAGAAACAGTTTTGCAAAAGAAACTTTTGAAAGAAGGTTTGAAGATCTTCATTGAAATTTTCCTGGGGCTAGTTCTTATCTTAAAGTATTATATCACAACAAGGCCTATTGGGCCTACTGTTTTATACATTTTAAATTCACTGGCAATATGATATCATCTTCTTGCATAGAATCAGTAAATGAGTGCTTAAACTGATTATTATATAGTTCAAATATTTCTTTATGTGAATTAATGAATGAAATTCATTGCCTTTTGGATTTTCATGACAAAAAAGAAGAATATAACTTTTGAAAATTATCTGTCCTTTGTATTAAAAGTTAAGACAAAACAAATTTTCTTTTTAAAAAAATCGATATGTGTTTAGAAAAAATTCTTATACCTATTATATTACAAAAACAACATAATGAAATTAATCAGTCTATTTATTATGAAGTTAGTAAACTTCTGAATGATGATATCGAGGTAATTTTTTTTAGCTTATTTATTATTTAAGTGATACTAAGAGAAAAGGCATTCTAATCATATAAACTCTATATGATTGGGGTGCCTTTTCCCTTAGTATCACTTATTTTATGAATTATTTAATGACTTTTTTATAATTATAAAGGCTCTGTAGTGATGATCAAGAAATAGAAATACCTGATGCATCAGTAGCAGACATACAACAAATACTGCTAAAAGAACTTATTCATTTAGTAGAAAGATTGAACAATGTAATTGAAGTATGGTATATGAATGTTGATAATTCTGTTACCACAAAACATTATGTATTATTATTAAACAATTGGTCTTATATGTGTTCATGCTTAATAACCATCTAACAGGATATGATTTGTAGGTATTATTTTCAAATAATGCTTACAACAGACAATGCCAAATTTCATATTCGGCTAATTCCTTCTCATTGGTACTATGATAATGCTGACGTGTTTAAAGAACCTTTTTTAAAAGCGGATAAATTTTATAAGGAAATATTAACAAAAGAAACCACTTTTCCTATCTCTTATCTATATGCATTTAATAGAATAACTAAGATTTTCTTGAAAAAAGTTTTACTATATTTCAACAAAGAAAGATTTATGAAGAGCTACATAGTACTTATAAGAAGGCTCTTAACAAAGCCTTAATAAGTCGATCAAATTCACAATGACTTATTGATCTGTTAAAAGAATTTACAGAAAGTGTTGATAAATTATCTAAAAGTTCATCAGGAAACAAAACCAATAATGATAAAGAAAATAGAGATTTTGTATTACAGAATCCTAAAAAAAGACATGGAAAAGGCTGACCAGTGGGCACTAAATACTTCAAATCAGTGTATGAAAAAAGAAGTACCAAAAAATAGCAAAGACATTGTAAGAAATGTGGCGAGGTTGGCCATTATCAAAAAAACTGCAAAACATAATTTTATTAGTGAGATAGTTGGTATATGGATTGCTTGTTCAATAGTGCAAATTGAGGTTATAATTGTAAAACTGAAGTGATTTAAAATGCTAGTCTAATAATTAAGTTAAAATTTAATATCTACAATTAGATGCTGTTAAATTGATTTTGAGTTAGGGTATTAAAGCTGTCTTGATAGTTTTATTAATGCTTTTAAGAAAGTTTGTTTCATGTGCTTTATTTTTTTATTTTGTTAATCTAACATTGGTAAGTTACTGGTCAGTTACCAGTAAGTTTGCCTGAATCTTTGTAGTTTTAATCAATAGTGTATTAATTTTTATGGTAACTACTGAGTAACTTACATATGTATATATATCGCACCTTGGTAACCACAACCTTGTATATGACAGTATCTTGTTTTATGTAAATCGAAAAGGAATTAGAGTTAAATTAGTATCTATTAGGGCAATCGGATTTTGATAAAGTCAACTATTTTTGTATCTAAGCATATGAATTGCTAGCCTACATGTAAGTCTAATAAATGATATATATATGAAAAATAATGTAGTATTAATTATTAGTGACACTAGAACCAACACTTAAGTTGAGGGCAACATGTATATTAGCAACATTATCTAGTACGTACTTATATTATTTAAGTAGGTATACACGTATGTATATATGTACATGCATACATGTGTATGTATATATATGCATATTTGATTAGCTCTTTCACTAAATTTAGTATATATATATATGTACAGCATATACATGTTATATAAAGTATCCATATTGAAAAAATTTTATAGTATTTTGAATAGATTAATGATGCCTCCATGTCATTTAATTAGAATGCTAAGTTTAAGTAATACTTAATTAGAACACAGAAGTAGGAGACAGCAGATTTTAATATATATTTTATTGAATTAACTTTAGAGTTAAGGTCAACTTAGATTAGAGTTATAGGTAGTTATATATATGCAAAATTGCCTTTTCGACATTTTTACTTAACCTACCCAAGGTATATTTAGATTGCTGTTTTTTGTATTTTGCAGGTTTTTCACCTTTTTTCTATATTTGCTTCATCAAAGATTATCAAAATTTTGTAATATTATTGGTTAGTTATCATGTGATTCTGCTATGCTTTAGATGACCTCAGAAGTAGATATTATACATATTTGATCCAATGTTATACACAGTTTAGTTAATTTGAATGCTTGAATATCATGTAATATATTCTCGAATTTCATTAGTTAAGGAGTAGGATGCTATAGCACATATGTACTATTTTATATAATCCTTATTTATTTATTTGATATTAAACAATATACAAATAGCTAATATAAGATGTCTACTTTAAATAATCTTATTTTATTTCTTGCAATAAATGAGTTTGTATAATATACATTATAGAATATGATTTATAGACATCTAAAATGATATGTCTCTTTTTTATCTGATTGGTTGTTCAAATTTTGTGACTTCATCTTGTGATTTTTAGATTTTTATCTATAAAGCTTTTTGTCTAAAAAAAAAATGCAAATTATCCTTTTTAGATTATTAAATAATGTTAATTTCTCTATTTATTATCTTAGCTTTTAGCCTAGTTATATATTTATTAAATTATTTTTGATTTTATCTGTTTTTTTCACTGTTCTGACCATATCATTATATCATATAGAAGCAAAGTAGATAGTACTAAGACATTTGCATAATTTTATATATTTTTAAGAAAGTCAAATATAATGTTTAGTAACTTATACAAATGTTGTTTCAAAAAAAAAGAGGCTCAGTCTTAATTCTATTAGATAAATTATAATAAATTTTAAATTAATTAGAATTGTATTACAGCTAAAACTCTCTAAACAATTTTTATAAAGACTCAACTTTTATAAGAGACACTTGGATAATAATAAAAAAGTGTACTTATACAGATAAAGTATATATTTGAGCTAGATTTAAGAGTGCATTTAGAGAGATTGCATAATTAAAGGCTCATTGCAATAAATATTTAGCTGTAATTAAATTTTAATCTAATCTATATACTGTTAGAATATGCTACAGATTTTATTTAGAAAATAATAAATTTTATAACTTTATTTGTTTATTTTAGCTATTCAAGTTTAATAATTTAAAAAAATGTATTTTTCACATGTACACTTAAGAATTAAACTATTTATCACTCTATTTACTGTTATTGAATGCTTGATTTTTTGCTTTTTACACTTATATATAATTACAAATCACTATACAGCATAGACTAAAAGACCCTTTTTATAATACTTTTTACAATTTTTAAAGGTCTAGAATATAAGTGCTTCAGATACTAAGAACAGATTAAGTGCACTTGTGAATATAAAATACCTGAGTACTTAACAAATCAATTATAAATTTACTAACTAAAATATAATGAAATTAATATAGTATAAATAATTTATTTTAAATACACCTATTGACAAATATTTATTATATTTATTAGTTACATGAAATAAAATAACAACAAAAGTAAATAATTTATTTTAAAAAAACTATATACATGCAAGAATGCTATATCTATACTATACTAATACTAATCTATCTGAATTGCATATAAAGTTCACCTAAATAATATAGTTAGTATTCAATCTACTGCACATATAATCTAATTTAAAGTTGCAAATAAAACTTATAAAAGTTAAGCAAACAAAAAACTTATGATAAAAGCAGTTTCATCTGCAACTCAATCTGAAAATTCACTTTTTGTTCTTGATTTTGCATGACAACATTATGTAGCTACTTATTATGTAAACCAGTATTTCATGTTTCAAGGTTTTTGGTATCTTACCTCATATTGCTTCAGAGGTGTTATAAATGAAACTACTGCATATACTTGTGTGCAATAATTTTCTTAGTAAAAAATCACTTTATGCTCTTATGATTATGTATTATAATTAGAATTCTTAGAAGCAGTTTTGTTAAAACTATTATAAAAATATAAAATCAATAAATAAAAAAGAAAAGACTTGATCACATTATCATAAACTTGCATTCTAATTGGTCAGATAGGTAAATCAATATAAATTAATATAAATTGATATTTTTAACCATATCAATATCAATATATATTTTTGACTATATCATATCAATATTTTTTCAGATTCCTGCACTAGAGTAACTGATTCCACTAGATATTCTGTTATATATAGGTAATTATTTTTGAATCCAGACCAAAATGTTATTATGTTATATATAAAATTGGTCTAAGTTCAAAAATAATTACTCATATTTGGATCAGTATATAGCAAAATGAGATTTAGAGACATTCTAACAGTTATTAAGATTTTTATTACACTATATTTCTAACTATATAAATTATTTATAATAAACTTTTTAATTAATGTTAGGATATTAAAATTTTTTATAATTTTATATTCAGTATTTTTTATTTAAATGATACTTCTACTCTATATTTAGATCAATTTTTATTATTAATTTAAAAAAAAATTTATATATACCAATATATAGCATATGCATTTACAGCAAAGTTAAAAAAAAATCTATTTATGATAAATTTTCATCACACTTACCCAAAGCAAAGCACAGTTTATTTTTGTAAGAATCATGTATATATGGTTAAATATCTTTAAATAGTTGTGTTTGACATTTTAAAGATAAAGATTTTAAAGAAATTATATTTAAAGATTGGTATAAGTCAAAATAAACACTATTATAAATTATTGCTTCTTCTTTTAAACTATTAGACTTCAAAGACATAAAAACTTTTCTGAGTTGGTCATGATAAAAATAAAAATAACAAAATTGCTATATACTATCATATTTAACAAAATAGAGGCTTAAAAATATCTTAAAATTATAATAACTTCATCCTTTTTTGTCATATCTAATTGCTATATTACTTTCATCTTTTTTTGATTGATTAATAGTATCCTCAATGTAATCCATACTCATAATATTATATTTACAATATTTAGTTTTAATTGCACCAAAATAAGAATCACAAATGAACTTGGTATGTCTAAGAATTATAAAGTTCAATTTAATTATATTAAAATATCTAATTATAGTTAGCTATAAGTAAAATCAAAGAGCAAAATTATTCTTGTTTTGATCAGTACAATTATCACATTTAATTTTTAAGTTTTTTTGAGTCGAATTCCAAGAAAATAAACTATTATAAACAAGACTAAGTATTATATTAGCCTCTTTTAATATTTTATTTAGTAATTAATATTCATCGATAAGATAATTTTATTGTATCATAGATGTTAAATCTGTATTTACAATTCCAAATATATGAACATTAAATAGAAACTTAAAAAACAAACCTCTAGGTTGTCATGATAAGTAGGGAATTAATATGTTTTGAGTTTAATTATAACAAATATGTATAGTATCAAATCATGGTTGCTTACTAATATTAATATTTTCATTATAATATTGATATTCAAGTACTGTAGCAGCTCAATGAAAATCATATTCTGCTTAAAATTTATTTTTATTTTTAAAATCATTAGCATACCAAATTTTAGCATAAAGCTGTTCATATGTATTATATAAATCAGATACTTTGGTTATAAATTGTATACAAATACAACTTTTTTTCAAATTTTAAGAAATATAGTATAAGTCATAGCTTTATAATCTTCACCTTTAATAAATTTAATTGTACTAATATATTTTTTATAAATACTATTATATGTTGTATTTATTGGAAGCAAAACAATAGATATAGCATCATGTCATATATGTTGAACTGATGAAGGAAATTCATAAAAACTAATATAATTACAAATATAATAATTAAGCTCTTGTTTTATTTGATCATTAATAATAATATAATCTGATCGAATTGAAGAATGTCCAGTATTACCATGAACAGGTTTTGTCATTTTATAATTTTTAATATGTGCCTTAATTTGATCAAGACAGAATGAAGAAATTCCAATTAATTTTAAATAAGTAGATAAACATACTATATGTTGAGCATCATACTGATATTGATAATTAAAATGATCATGAATTGCAAAATTATCTAGTTCTTGTAATTTTTTTTTTGTTTTGATAACTTGCTATATGCAAATGATGCAAGTTGACCTTTAATCCAAATGTCCAAATCATTGTGTGACATATTACAACATTCTTCTTGTCTTTTAAAAATTGACAAAATCCAATTTTTTCAAAATAATTATTAATTTTATTTTTATTTTTGCAACAGGTACATTCCTTTTTTTGTCAAAATTTCTACAGTTCTTGAACATTTTAACAAATTATATCATCCGTTTCATCAAATTCTTTTAATTGCAATTCTGAAACAGAAGGTCTAATATTATCTATATCATTTTGTTCTATATCATTTTGTTCCAGATAACTTTCATTATCATTATTATAAAACTTTCATCAAAGTTTTCAATAGTTACCATCTTGCAAAGTAAAATAGCAAAATGATAAACTGTGATTATTATTTATATTACAAACTTTAATTGGTATTAAAAACTTTAAAAGCTTTAACACAATGTTTAATTACAATTTAGAACTTTAAAAATTATAGTCTAGTTTTTAATAATTACCATAGCGCAAAGTAAACCAGTAAAATACTAACTATATTTTATCATTTACATTAAGAAACTTAACTAATATTATATGCTTTAAAACTTTAATACAATGTTTATACAAGAATTACGATTAAATCTTTAAAGTTCAAGATTGCAAGTCTTGAAAACTTCTCGTTTAGAACTTGAGACTAATAAAATCCGGTCTTCGGGATTTTCATTAAAAATGTAATTATTAACGGTGTATAAACATTACGAGTTACACATAAATTTCTAATTTTACCACAGTACAGTGTATTTGCATAAAAATGATTAAATATCGATATCAATGAAAAAAAAATTTGGCTCGAAGCCCCTTTTTGCTGTGTACTGACCCATTTGCTATTTTGGGGGGCTCGAATTTTTTTTAGGGCCTATAAGATAGTCATGATATGACAAATATATATTCGATCATTAAATTTATATCGGTGTGAAAATTAATATTCAACATATCACATAACATATTTGTACGTAAAAAGAAATATTGTAAAATAGTATATAAATATCAAGTATATATACAGTGAGGATTTTGATAATTTATTATCGCAAGCAGGTTATAACCCGGAAACTAGAAATCGATCGTTTACTTTCTCTAAAAAACCTCTTAATTCCTACCTTTACCAATTCTTTAACCAACGAGTTAGACGTATCCAGAAACGAGAAATCGATCGTTCACTTCTCTAAAAAACCTCTTAATTCTCACATTTACTAATTCTTTACCCACCGAGTTATACGTATCGGTGTGTCTTTAGAGTAGTGCCGTGCATTTCACTTTATTTGATTTTCTTTTTTTTTTTTTCTTTACATTTCGGTCTCTGCTATGGAAATTAAACAAGAAGGGTCACAAGCCTGCAGAACTGAGCAAGGAAACGTGACGAGTTCTGAACAACATTTTTTACAAGACTCTACTTCGAAAATCTCTAGAATCGATAAATCGTCCCAATTGATTACTAATAATCAAAAATCTTCTCAAAATACTAGGAAAACGGGATCCGTTGGGTTCCGGAGAGCCGCTTCGTATTATGCAAAAAAACTTTTAAAGTCACATTGGATCTGCTAATTTGAAGGTGTTAATTTTTTGGTGTAAATACATAGCTTTTACACTTATCTAAATGTCCAAGGAAATCATAAAAATTTTGTAAAATCAGTTAGAGGTAATTTAGTGCTGTGGGTTAATGTGATGTAATAATATGAATAAAGTTGATATGATATAATTGGTTGAGTCGATTAACGTCTCTACTTGAGCTTCTAATATATTATATTCTCTTGATCTAAATTCCAAATACATAGTATATTGGCTTAGTACATTAAAATTTGACTTATTCATCAATAATCATGATATTGTGATAGTGGTTGATTCTTTTTTTTTTTTATCATTACCAAAGTAACAAAATGCATAATACTGAATGCCGTTGAATTATCATTGCTAAAAACGACAAACTACCTAATATTTGAATGCTGATGAAATTTTATTTTTTTAAAACCATAGAAATATAAAGTTAACTATACAATAAGGCAGAAAGTACCTAACACGTCAAAATATCAACTAATGTTCGAAAAAATCAGCAATGTTCTCCCGCTGATCATCCTACATCTTCGCCACCTTCCACTGCTAACGTCGGACTACTACCAGAAGGTTATCAAGAGATAAATATTATACATCAATAAATAATTATGTATTTGTTTTTTTTGAATATTTTTGAATGATTAAAACTAATTAAAAATAATAATAATTTTTCTTTTTTAGAACTCAAAGAAATGCCGACTAAACGGTGGTTCGTTAACCTTTTCAAAATCCTATGACGTAAAAGTTCCAAGAACACCAAACGTATTCATTATATATCATCGAACTAAATCCAAAGAACTCGCAAAAATCAAGACTAAGGCACAAACTGCATCCGATGAACGTCATCCGTGGCAGAGATGTGGAGAGAAGAATCTGAGGAAGTTAAATTACAATACCAAAGAGAAGCTGACTTGGCCCTCGTAGAACATAAAAAGAAATATCCATATTATAAATATAGACCAAAGAAAAAGATAATAAAATTAAATGTAGTTTATCTCTTCCTTCAACAGATTCAGCAAAAGCATCCGACTTTGATTCAAAGGATGCCTCTCAAGTTCCTCTAGAACATAGAAAACAGGCTTCAATGGAATCAGCATTCTCTGTATAAGATTTACAATCAAATAATGATCAAAAAGAGGAAAATGATTCAAATTTGACCAACCCGATGTTCAAGAACAATAATTCTTGCCCAAACGCCTAATTTTCCTAGTGAACAAGTACAATTAAATTACCAATCTCATTGTCCCAATTGTAGTTGTAGTGCATATAATAGAGGACCGGAACAAGAATGATGGGTTGATTACTTACTTCCTCAAGTATCATCGCCAGCAAATTTGCAACAAGGAATTACGATTTACACACAACCGGATTTGGATGCAGTTTATCGTTATTTCATTTAATACCTGAGTTGATGCCGCCTGCAGATAGCCCTGTTACTCCAAGTTTTTCATCAAAAATGAACGAACCAAATTTTACAAACCTGGAAAATCAATTTTCTTCCAATATAAATGGCGATTCAAACTACTACTGTGGGTATGATTACAATTCAACAAATGCCTTCTGATGAAACAACACGATCGACAACTAATTGGAATATTCCAGGATATATTATACGTTCTCAACCTACTCCAACTATAATGCCTACATCCTTACCGCAAGCACCTCCGCCAACACCAACAAGCCCAAATGAATATTTGTCATGGACTTCCAATACTAATACCAATACTAACGCTCCGTCCCAAATTGATAATCAACAACCAAATATTCAACTGCCTGCACAATCTAATAATCATGTACATTTATCGTTACAATCAATTTTATTACATCGAACACTTCTCACGAAGATTATAATTTTTCTTTACACTGAAAAAAATACAATATATATATATATATATGGGGTGAGTCAATAGAAACGCACCAAATCTTTTTTATTAAAATTTTTTTAAATCTTTAAACAAAAATAACTCAACAAAAACTTAATTAAATTTAGTAAAAAATTTTTTAAATAAATTCTATAAGTTGTTAGATTTATTTTTTAAAAAAAATTATAAAATTTGATTAAGTTGTTAAGTTTGTTTAAAGTTTTAAAAACATTTGCTTAGAAAAAATTTAGTGCATTTCTATTGACTCACTGATATATTTATTTATAAATATAGATATGATAGACATTAGCTTATAAATTGTACAGAAAAAAAACAAACAACCCGTTGCCAAAGGACAACTTTATACAAATTTTAAAAATTGTGAAAACCATTTTTTTTAAAAAAAAGAAAAAGAAAAAAAAATAGGTTGATGTAATAATCCACATTCTGTTTTTTTTTTATTTTATTTTTTTTTTACTCATAGCTTCTAAGACAATGATATGATATGGATTTTACATCTTATTTTTTGGGAACAAATAATATTTATAGGTTAGGTTCTCTTTGATGCCAACTAAATACGCCCAACGAAATGTGCCAACGAAAGTTGGTTTCTTCTTCTTTATTTTTTATATAGTACATATACGCTTGTAATAATTTTTATATAGTAAATAATTTTGAAAAAAAATTTTATACAATTTATATAAATATATATGTAGTATATTACGTTTATAATAATTAAATTTGTAAAATAAATAAATAAAAATCAAGGTTGTTGAATAAGGAAACTGCATACATCTTGGCAGCATACATATTGGCATGAGTTAAAAAAAAGGTTTAATTGTATGATACTTGACTTATAAATGGATTTATTCATGTATATGAATTTCATTTAAATTCTGCTCATAAATTTACTTTCATTGAGAATTATATCGTCTTACAAAATGTAAATTGAAGCATTTATATATAGAAAAGACACTTTAAAACAAGCCAAGAGAATATCATGTTTGGATAAATTTATAAATAATTAAAATAATTACCCAAGAAAATATTCTTTATTAAACTAATACAAATTAAACCGATACAAAATATTACTTACCTTTTTTTCTTTAATAATATTTTTTCCTGCGAAGATCAAATTACTGTATCATGTGGCAATATATGATTATATGGTATATACAGAGGTTCAATAACTCTTACCATATTATATATATTTATGCATACTGTATGTTCAACAAAATCACTTAAATCACTTTTATTAATTTTTATCCCTGTATCTTGTTTATTCATAACTTAATCCCGGTTTATCACCAATTTATAATGTAACTTTAAGATTAAATCTTGTAAATCTCAATTTATAGAAATAACGATAATACAGGGATTTCCATTATATATATATATGATACATAAAACATCAAATATTGGTATGTATGATACAAATTTGGATGTAAAATAATGGAAGTAATTAAGCAATTGTAAGCCATATTACATTCGAAAAAAGTAGTCTGATTTGTGATACAAAATAAAAAAGATCTCTGTATATTAAATTGAAATAAATATGTTTGCTGTTTCTTCTAATGAATGAATACCAGTCGTTTTAGCTTTTTTTTTAATAGTTAATCGTAAGTCAACTTTATTAAATTAAAAATACAAAAGATCAAAATTTGCTAAGTGTTTAAACATACATACTTTTTCTTAAGAACTTGGACCTTGAGAAAACAGTTGTTTTTATGCTCATAAGTTCTTTAATATTTTTTCGACATTGCTGCATAAAAGTATTTTCGTGATCAAATTTTGGATTTTATCAATGAAACTTATTTTTTAGTGTTTAGCTAAATCAGAGAGCTTCAATAAAACTTTTTATATTAAAATTACGTAATGTAAATTAAAATTATAATAAATAATTATGGTAAAACTTAAAATTTAAGTTAAAATAATAACTTTAAAATCTATACCGTAATGAGTAATGCTGAGGATCCTAGTTTTTTTCAAGCTAAAACTACTTGCAGATTTTTTTTTGATATACAGTCAGACCCCTAAATGCACCCCCTAAGTATACATCCTATGAAACACCTCCCTAAATGCACGTCTTCTCTTGGGCCTAACTAATATTACATCTATAGATTTTTACCTCTCTAGATGCAACACCTCTCTAAGTGCACGTTTGACTAAATTTTTATATATGGTCCCGTCGCATTGCATTTAGAGAGGTCTGACTGTACTATACTTCTTTGAAGATAAGGGACTGTCATAATTTTTGCAAACGGCATTGTAAATCACACCAGTGATATTTAACATCATCGTTAATATACTGTCTAAATTACCAAGGCTGGGTGTACTAAGTAAAAATGATCAACACCCGAAAAAACTGTACCCTAACTAAATTTTAATTTAATTTTTAACCCAATAATATGGTGTTGAGCATTACTGGTGTGATTTGAAATTTTTGTTCGTAAACACAGAGTTTTTTCTTTGTTTTTTTTTTAATATTTATTATTGTATCTATATCGGGAAACATGTTGTACGTTGTGAAAAAAATTACCCAGAATAAGATTTTCTGCGATTTTAAGAAATAACTATCTATAGGCTTTATAAATATGCATGCGTTACGCCTTTTCCTGACAATAATTTATATTAAACACATTTTAATAGAATACATTATAAAAATCTCCAGCGAATTGCCACGAGAGATATGTGATTGATTATCTATCCATGTTGAAGTATTGTACATATTTCAAGTTTCATAATGATAGTGGGGATAGTGAAAATTATAAAAAGTAAAATAACAAATTCTCTTGATTTTACATTCTATCCTATTTGCGACCTTAAATTATAATCTGCATAAAGGTAAACTATATAATTGAAGATTTAAAAAAAAATAAAGATGTACATAGTTAAAGATTGAAGAAAATGTTTGAACTTATTTCTTTTAAAAGGTCTTTGGTGAAAAAAATTTTTCATAAAGTTTGCTTATCAAAAGCGTGATCCTGAAATCATAACGTCCGAAAATTGAACTGTCTGACTTTCTGTTTCTTGTGCTCCAGCACTACTAGGAAACGGATGCATACCTTTGGTTAAAATTTCATATTTTTGTTCAGCAGTAAGGTTATCGTAGGATGAACCTACAGGAACATTAGTATTTTGAGGTAGCAAAGGTTGACCCCCAACTGCTTGATTTATAGGTTGTTGGTTCATAATGACAATCTTAAAATTTTTATTGAAGGTTTTTGCCCTAAAGCAAAAAAAAACGAAAGCAAAAAATTTGGGTTTTTATAGTTTTGACAAATAGTGGATGTAGATGATGAAGCGATCATATTAATAAGCATGTATAGCAAAAAATTGATAAAAAAATTTTTTATTTGAAATTTATATAATTACGTGTTTCTTCGAAATATATATTGATAAATATGTTGTTGTAAAGGAAAGATCAAAAAAAATTTAGTGCATTATAAAATTTTTTTTTCACCAAGTCAATCCCTATTCTTTATATATTTTTGAACATGGACCAATTATATATGACGTAATAACATTTTGGTCAGGATTCACTCATGTTTGAAAAAAAGGTGTGGTGAAAATAGATTATATTATATTTGTGAACTTTAAATTTATATTAATACAATTGGAAAACGTTTAATTTATAGTTAAAGTATATAAAAAAGTAATTTATTACTAGGAAATCAGAAACTGATGTAAGTCCGAAGCGAAATACGTTATATGTGTAACACAGATTACACTGGCTGCAGATCATTACGGGAACCTCAATTCTCGATTTTTATTGGTAGTTTCGGACTAACATTGCATGATCATGCATTCAAGTTTTCTTAAACAGTTAAGTCACGCTTCGGACAATAAATAGATATTATTTCCGGATTAGATAATATCGAGACTAGGTATACTTGATACTTCAGTCCTGATCGGCGACACATAAAACGTAATTAACATTATTTTTTTGTACGTTATTTACGAAACTTGTAAATCAATGACCATAATTGACCACACATGAGGAATTTCTGGTTTTTTTCATGCATGCATAATACTTAATGTTAATGTTTATTGTTTTATTAAATAATTACCCTTTAATTAAAATGAGGTGACGGCAGATCATAATGATAATTGGACAATAATGTTTTTTGAATATAAAATTTTTTTTAGTCCAATAACAAAAAGCAGATGTACATTGGGTAGTATTTCTAAAATAAAAAGTTTCAGCTTATCATAACTGAAAAAAAACAATGATTATTTACGAAAAATGCTGGGTGAGGCGAAAAATTCGTTACATTTTTTAAATTACAGCTACTTAACAGTAGTATTTTGTTCGATTATAAAGGGAATTATGCTGATCTTAATTATTAATCTGGTTTTGTAAGACTAACCATCTTTTTTTATACACTTTACAGCTATCCTGTATAATTATTATATTTATAAATTAAAAACAAGTATCCTCTACTCCATTTTTTTTAAATGCCAGATTAGCGGAAATAACTTGGCTAAAGATCTCATTGCGATATCCGTTAATCTGACATTTAAAAAAATAGGGTAGAGAGTGTGGTGCTTATTTACGGTAGAATACGGTATAAACAATGAGAAATACTTTAGATCTATTATTAACTCGTGTCTTTTCGGCAATTCCTCTCTGTCAAACAATGTAATAGTTAAAAATTTTCGTGTATTTGGATTGGTACGGATTTTAAAATCAGAAACTGTTCAGTAATTCCGTAATTAAACATTTTATGACAGCTTTATTAAACAAAGAAATTCAAACCATTCTGCCAAGATATATATGTGTGCAAAGTAGAAATTAAAATAACTGAAAGTTTACGAGAAAGTACGATATATAGGCGTGTAACATAAATATACAAGGGAATAGAATTGCCATTATTATTTTCCAAATCGGATCACCACTGAAAATTTACTAAGATAGATTACAAGAAAACCCACTATGTTCATCATTGCAAGCAAGTGTCTTGGGTCATAGTACAAACGATAAAATAGGTAAATTAAACTTCCGACAAACAATTCAAATTTAATCAAAGATTAATAATTTTACCAAGTAGTTAATTTTTACTGTAAAAATAAAGAATTAGATTGGTTTATCGTTATTTCTGTTATATATTGGGGGCTGAATTTAGAGGTCTATAAAATAGTCATGATATATTTTTGGTATGATTGATCATTATATTTGTGCATAAAAGAAATGTTAAAAAAAATTCCTTTTATGTGCTTATTAAAAAATTTGTTTATCGTATTCTACCGTAAATAAGCACCAAACCCTCTACACCATTTTTTAAATACCAGATTAGCGGAAATAACTTGGCTAAAGATTTCATTACGATGTCCGTTAATCTGACATTTAAAAAAAAAGGGGTAGAGAGTGTGGTGCTTATTTACGGTAGAATACGGTACGTACATAAATATTATAGCTATATATATACACTGAGGGTTTTGATAATTTAAAATTGTTGCAAGCAGGTTATAACCCAGAAACAAGAAATCGTTCATTTTCTCAATTTCAACCTTTACTAATTCTTTAACCACCGAGTTAGACGTATCGGTGTGTCTTTAGAGTAGTGCCGTGCATTTTACTTTATTCGTTTTTCTTTTTCTTTTTTCTTTACATTTCAGTTTCTGCTATGGAAATTAAACAAAAAGGGTCACGTTCCTGCAGAACTGACCAAGGAAACGTGACGAATCCTGAACAACATTTTTTACAAGACCCTGCTTCGAAAATATTCGCTGATAATTCTACATCTTCGCCACCTCCCACTGCTAACGGCGGACTACTACCAGAGATACCCTTTGATCAAAGTAAATGACAACTTTTATGGGCACCAGAAGGTTATCAAGGGTAAATATTATACATCAATAAATAATTATGTATTTGTTCTTTTTGAATTTTTTTGAATCTTTTTGAATATTTAAAACCAATTAAAATTAATTAAAAATAATATTTTTTTTATTTTTTTATTTTTTTTATTTTTTATTTATTTTTTTTATTTTTAATTTTTTAATTTTTAAGTTTTAATTTTTTTAATTTTTAATTTTAATTTTTAATCTTTAATTTTTATTTAGAACTCAAAGAAACGCCGACTAAACGGTGGTTGTCAACCTCGTCAAAGTCCTATGACGTAAAAGTTCCAAGACCAAACATATTCATTATACATCATCGAACTAAATCTAAGGAACTCACTGAACGTCATTCGTCCAAAACTGTGGCAGAGATGTGGAGAGGAATGTTAAATTATAATACCTAAGAGAAGCTGACTTGGCCCTCGTAGAAAATAAAAAGAAGTATCCATATTATAAATATAGACCAAATAAAAGAGATAATAAAAATAAATGTAGTTTATCTTTTCCTTCAACAGGTTCAGCAAAAGCATCCGACTTTGAGTCAAAGGATGACCAATCTCATGAGTTGATGCCGCCTGCAGATAACCCTGTTACTTCAAATTTTTCATCAACAATGAACGAACCAAATTTTACAAACCTGGAAAATCAATTTTTTTCCAATAAAAATGGAATGTCCCTGCAGTTTAAACCACTACTGCGGGTATGATTACAATTCAACAAATGCCTTCTGATCAAACAACACAATCGACAACTAATTGGAATATATTATACGTTCTCAACCTACTCCAACAATAATGCCTACATCCTTACTGCAAGCACCTCCACCAACACCAACTTCTTCGTTAGCATCTTTTTCCAATGCTAATATCAATGCTAATATCAATACTAATATCAATACTAATATCAATACTAACACCCCGTCACAAATTGATAATCAACAACCAATATTCAACTGCCTGCACAATCTAATAATCATGTACACTCCCCTGACAAAAGTCATGGGCCTGTAGATCATTTTTATAATAAAACATAGTAAATATTGAAATTTTTA